TTAGTGGCCCCACTTCCAAATATAGCGATGCTGGGAGTCAGAGCTTTAACATAAGAATTTGAGAGAGACATGAATGTTTCTTCTATAACAATTATCTCCAGGTTTTCTTGTTATACTTCATTCTTAACCTCATAACATTTCCACTGGTTTCCTAAAAGGCTCATGTGATTATTCCAAACGTTTTTTCAGTAAATATTTTCAGATGTCTTGTAGCCAATGTGAATTTCAGAATCACTAGCTTTCCACATTGCTGGAAAAAATATATCTCTCCTGTATGTATAATCTTAACACTAGACAGTTCCACCCAAACTCATATGCACTTAAAATAACAAATCAAATTTATATCTCCACCTTGAATTTTCTCCTGGGATTGAGACACATAGCCACTTGCTACTTAGCATCTTTAGCTGGAAGTTTATAGAATATCTAAAACACAGTACCTCAAATCAGAACTCATAGTTTTTCTAACAAATTTATGCTTCCCCAGACTTCACTATTTTTTTTCTTCATACTGGAAATGCAACTCAGGACCTTGTGCTTGCAAGGCAGGCAGAGCACCACTGAGCAAAATCCCAGCCCTTGACTTCACTATTTCAGTTAATATCATGATGAACTATTTCATCATGGTTGCTTGGGTCCCACATCTACCACTGACTCAGTGTGAAATCTTGCAATCTCTGACTTGAACTTCCTCGAATGGGAATAAAAAAATCTCTTCTATCCCTAATATTGGAAGCCTTGTTAAAGATAACTATGAATCTATACATGCTTTATAAAATGTGAAGTGAGGAACAACTGCAAGCTTGCATCATTATTATGATGATCGTGGCGATTAGTGGGACATTATTTGATCAGAACTTGTGTTAATGATGTTAAGATGCTCTTGAAGAAAAAAAAATAAGTGGTTGGTAAATTCAGGGAAGATCAAGTTGAAGTTTTCTTTGGCCCTTTCTAGATGCTAGAGATTAAACCCAAGGTTTTATGCATGCTGGGAAAGTGCTCTACTACTGAGCTATATCCCCAGGCCTAAAATAAAGTTTCATTATCTCAGTAATACAAAACTATTAATATTCCAAAGTATATTTAAGTTTTCCATTGAGAATAGCATATACTGCTTCTTTCAAACTTACCTGCCCATGAAACATCTTTTATTCAAAGCATCTCATAGGATTAGAGGTTGAGGAATGAATATCAAGTTGAATTTCTTTGGCCCTTTCTAGATGCTAGAGATTAAACCCAAGGTTTTATGCATGCTGGGAAAGTGCTCTACTACTGAGCTATATCCCCAGGCCTAAAATAAAGTTTCATTATCTCAGTAATACAAAACTATTAATATTCCAAAGTATATTTAAGTTTTCCATTGAGAATAGCATATACTGCTTCTTTCAAACTTACCTGCCCATGAAACATCTTTTATTCAAAGCATCTCATAGGATTAGAGGTTGAGGAATGAATTGGGGAAATATCTAGAAAACTCAAAAGTCACCTACAAGATACAGTAGACTTTTACACCAAAAATGGAAAGAGAAAAGAATTCCTAGTGTAGATGCAAGCAAATCATTGCCAACATTTTTTAGCTTCAAAGCGACATAACTTGGCATGGCACAGAATAAGATGAAAACAATTCCATGGGTAAATCTCCTTCCTTGCAGTGAGTATTATTGGGCTTTTGAACCCTGCTCTCACCATGCTGGGCATAAAATGAAAATTATGCCCTTTCATGTTTTTTATTATCACAATATTTATCACAAAACAGAGGAAAGCTTCCAGATTGTGGCTCACTAGTGGTACCCTGCATCATAAGCATCTACATACTCATGCGGATGAGCACATCTATGTGCAGACCTGCTCTTACTGTGCATGAGACTTCAAGGTTCCTAGGCTATAAAAAGTCATTTCTGACTGAGTATGAGTTGTCCAGCTGAAATACTATGATTCCTTACTCTGCTCCCTAAAACTGGAGAATAAAATAGAGCTACTAAGTTTACCAGTAGCTAAAACCATAGAAAATTGTAATCCAGACCCCTTATTATAGAGGATCATGTAGCGAGTTGCTCAAGATCTCCAGGGACCTTTGTATGCTCACAGAGGTGACCATCCAGGGAGGCAGACACCTGTGCCCTGATGTGCCTGGAGAGAGTGCTCCCAAGATGCTCCAGCTACCCAAATGTAAAGAATCCACTTCTAGCTAGCGTGGCTTCCTGGACTGCATTGGGAAGGCTGCATCCTAGAGACCAGCTACTTCTAACAACCAGCGGACAAGTATCTGCAGATACAACAAGACAACCAAGGAACTTGTAGACAGAACTGGAGTCTGATCATCCACTCAGACCTTAAACAACATGTTGGACTAAAGCCTGCACCAGCGCTGGGAGAGTTCTTCCAAATGCACAGCCAGTCCCAGTCACTCAATGTCATCTACCCTTCTCACAAACTCTCATCCCGACACTATTCTGGGATTCTCTCCCCAATCTTCCCACTGCCATTTGACATCTGCCTATAATGTGGAGGCCAGAACAGCAGATACCAAGATAGCATTTCTTCACTCGAGGTGTGAAGGTTGCTAAGAGAGCACACAGAGATAACTCCTGTCAAGGGCAAGTGGAGTGCTGTAGGTAGTGGAGGCCAGCACTGAGCTGCTCCTCATGCACAGACCGCTAAGGTTAGCATGGCCGCCTGAGTCCTCCACTCTTCTCTCGCCTAGTGCCTCTCTGCTTCTGCCCTGAGCTAGTACAACGCCTTTTGGCCATATGGACTTAACTGCAATTCACTTAGGGAACTGCCTCATGGATGAGTATTCATACTATATCTATCTTTGAATATGTCTTTATCATAAATTCACAAAAATGGCATTACAAGAGGACTGAGGCTATAACTCATTGATAGAGCACTTGCCTCGCTTGTACAAGGGCCTGGGTTCCATCCCAATATAAGGAGAAAAAACAAAAGAGAGAGAGAAGAAAAAGAAAAAGAAGGAAATGGACAAAACATTAACTTTTTCTAAGGCTTTTGTTACACATTAATAAACCGTTTTCCAGAAAAGTGATATCAATTTAGAGCTAGTCTGACATACTAAGTTTTAAATTCCTAGTGCTTACCACTGTGTCTGGACCACAATAAGCTATCAATCAATTTTTTTCTCTTCTACATATCCTTGATGTTTTGCTTTTGTTTTAAATATCTTTTTTATAAGCTTTCCTTTGGACTCAGTGAGTCACTATAAAAACTTACTCCTTTGAAAGAGGATGACATTTTCTGCTTAGCCAATCAGCAAAGATAATATTCATGTAAATATAAATTTTATTTATATTAATCTTGGGGATATTTCTCTTGATATATATTAATTTGATATCTATATTGCCTTTCCTTAGGGAAAGTTTGGTTTTCCTGAAAACGTTCAAAGCTGATGAAAATGTTCTGTATTTGATCTGAACAGTAGACATGTGCAACTATTCAACTGTAAAGAATTACTGAGAAATAAACCTTAGATTTGTGGATTTCATGAGATAATATTCAGAGGTATATATGTGTTCATTGCTTTCTCATTAGGGATAAGTCAGAAGAAGGCATGAAGTTTTAAAGAACAGAGAAAGATATATGTATGAGTGAAATATAAGGGATACAATAGGTAGAATATGATACCATTTTATTATTTAAAAACTCTAACAGGGCTGGGGATTTAGCTCAGTGGTTCCACTACCTGCCTTAAAAGTTCAATCCCTGCTACCAAAAAAAAAAAAATTAAAAATTAAAAAATTGGATTTAGCTCAGTGTTTCCGCTGTCTGCCTCACAAGCACAAGGTCCAAAGTTCAATCCCACTACAAAAATAAATAAATAAATAAATAATAAAAAATCCAACAAATTGATAATGTGGTTACATCTTAAGAAGACATCAGGCTGGGGATTTAGCTCAGTGATTCTGCCGCCAGCCTCGAAAGCGCAAAGTCCCGAATTTGATCCCCAGTACCAAAAAAATAAAATATAAAAAATAAACAAAGAAACCCCAAAAACTTCAATTTGGGAAAAAATGAGAATCCAGACTGGTCATGTAAAGGTACAAGATCCCAATGAAGAATGTAACTGTACTGTATACCTAAAATGGACCAATAAACTCCATGAGAAAAAAAAAAAAAGACGACATCAGGTTTGGTAGGAACATGTCAAGAATATTTCATGCAATGCAATATATGCATACACTAATTCCCAAGATGAATGTAATTACATATACTAATACAATTTTAACTTATTAATTTGGATAATAAACATATTTAAAAAATCAAATTACTTTTATGCACACCAAGTACAGCTCTACAAATTATATCTTTTTTTAAAAGTTAAGACCAAGGCTGAGAGGGCTTGGGATGTAGCTCAGTGATTCCAGCGCCTGCCTCGCAAGCTGAAGGACCAGAGTTCTATCCCCAGTACCACAAAAAAAAGTCTGAGGATGTATCTCAGTGTCACAGCACACAATTAACAACACAACACCCTGAGTTCCATCCCCAGCACCAAAAAGGAAAAAAAAAATCCAAATGAAAACTTTATATAACAAACAGATAAAATGCCCACATAACTATGTATATCCAAACTAACTAACCAGCACCACAGTGAACCTAGAAATCTTTAGCCAAATTTACAGTTTGTTGACTGGCTTAGCATTATTATATACATTTAATAAGCAAAGAGACTGAGTTCCATACAGATGAGAGTGTTCAACTACAAAATTTTCCTGTTTTCTTGGACAACTTTTATTGTTTACTTTTATTTATTTGTTTCTTATTTATTTATTAGTTTATTTTGGTTTTTTGAGACAGGGTCTCACTATGCAGTTGAGACTGACCTGGAACTCACTATGTAGCCCAGGCTGGTCTCAAACTCACAGGGATCCTCCTCTTCAGCCTCAGAAGTGCTGGGATTATAGGCGTGCACCACCATGCCCAGCAATTTTTACTGTTTAAACAGTTTGGAACTTGGTGGAATAGGCAACTTGCTGTTGGTTTCAGTTATAATTGGATTCAACCCATTAGGAATTTTACTTATCAAACAAGGAAAATTTCTGAAGAAGATAGGTAGGTCAAAAATAACTGATGTGGATATTTTCGCCAATCTGATGATTCCTTTCCTTGCATTTTAATGAATATCAAATTTTGCTAACTCTCAAAGGGAAGAGATGATATTTTCCCTTACATATGAACTTTGACAATAAAAGCAGTAGTATTTATTTATTTTTGAGACAGGGTCTCGCTATGTAGTTCAGGCTGGATTGTAACTAACTATGTACCTCAGGCTGGCCTCAAACTTGAGGTGATCCTCCTGCCTCAGCCTCCAGAGTGCTAGGATTAAAGATGTGTACCATCATGTCTGGCTGAAAGCATTAGTTTTTGAAGAAGCTTAAATGAAAATTTTCCTTTTGATCACTAGTTAAGATTTCTAACAGGAAATTATTCTACCAGCATCATCTATTTCACTTTATATTTTTACACTAAATAATTTTAATTTAGGGGAAAATAAAGGGAAGGAATGGTGTTTGGTAATAAGGAGACATCTCACCTTAAAAGGTCCTGAAATTAGAAGATTTATGGTAAATTTTTTATAAAGACAGGTGGCTGATTTTTCTTCCTTCACAAAATAAATGTACTTCTACTTTCGTAATGAAATAAATGAAACTCGGCGGCCATTTCCCCTTTTAAGATGGCTAAAATGAATGTGTAACCATATTATCTCCCCAGGACGGAGTTAATGGTGGGATGCCTTTCCATCCACCTTCCTACTGGCTGCAAACTGAAGAATGAGAAGGATGATCTTTGTTGGTGTGTTTATCTTATTCTGTCTCTTAGGAGGTAAGTCATCAAGAAAGCATAATTCGGGCTGGGGATTTAGCTCAGTGGTGCCACCACCTGCCTCGCGTCCCAAGTTTGATCCCCAGTACCAAAATAAAAAATAAAAAAAACAAAAAAGAAGGGACAATTTCTTAAGCTACTGCAGAGTTACTATATGACTTAAGTGGAAGGCGGATTTAAATATGTTAACTTGAAAAGCACATCACCTTCTCTTGCTTCTTGCTGTAAACCCTCTCCCTCTGACTCTAAAGAGTTTCTGCCCTATGAAATCTGAGTGCACCTAAGCACTAAAGTAACAATAACAGGAGCTAGCATTAATCGAGCACTTACTATATTTTAGCCTCTGTTCTAAACATTTCACTTGTATCTATTAACTCATTCAAACCTCATGACAGCCCTGTTAGGTGAGTCCCCTCCCCCCATTTTATAGAGGAGGAAAATGAGTCAGTAGATAGTGTGTTACATATTATGATTCCTAAACTAGAACACACATACCAAATTAGACTGAAAGTACTTATAATGATGGCAAAATGAGTAAATTAAATTGGAAAGAAGAAGCACAAATGCAGCCTCCTAACACTTTTCCTATTCTAAATGCTGTTTTTCACCAATTTGAATATTTCTTTATAAGAAGAAACACATAAGGATATAACAGAGTTTTCAGTTCATTTGGAGAAATGAAAGAACTCTTAAAGTGGCTCAAATGAGTAATGGACCAAAAGTTAACAAAACTGAGTCTCTCAAAGTTAGAGGATTGCAGCCAGAGATTTAGCTCATTGATTCCAGTGCCTGCCTGCCTTGCAAGAACAAGGACCTGAGTTCGATTCCCAGTACAAAAAAAAAAAAAAAAAAAAAAAGTCAGAGGATTGCAGAAGGAGCAGAGAAGGTGGCTGCAACAGTGTTATGTCGGAGACTCAGTGCACACAGGCATCACTGGGGGTGTAAGGAAGAGTTAGATCCAGTAGGTCTCAGATGAAGCCTGAGACTCCGCATTTCCCACAAGCTCCATGTGTGGATGGTGCCCATGGTGTGGAGAGCACAGCTCAGCAGGAGGAATCTACAAGGCTTCTCAGAAGAAGAGAATTCCAAAATTCATACTTGGAGACTTTCGGTTCCAAATCCTTAGGTCAACAATTCAAATGCCTAAAATGTTTGGCCAGATACTGTAAGCTGGAGAAACCAGGTAGCTACAACCCAACAGGAAAGGCTCTGATTAAAGGGGGCAGTGGATACCCAGCTATGGGCGTTTGCCACTATGGAGAAAGCAGAGCGTACCCCAGAGGCTAAAAACACAAATAGCCTAAGAACTGTCCCAATTTTAAAATATTGACAACTAATATAATTTTTGAAAACTATATGCAAGAGAAACACACCATGTCTAGCCCACAAACCTACAGTTAAGGCCTCTATTTCCTACACTATTATTGCTAAATACAGTGCTCAACAGTTCTGATTACTCCTGAAGAGACAGAAGCAAAACCACATAGCTTGGGTCTCTGTTGCATTTTAATTTCTTTCTTTTTTTTTTTTTGGTTTTTTGAGACAGGGTCTCACTATGTAGTTGAGACTGAACTGGAACTCACTATGTAGCCCAAGCTGGTCTCGAACTCACAGCAATCCTCCTGCCTCAGCCTCCTAAGTGCTGGGATTACAGGTGTGCGCCACCACGTCCACCTTGCATTTTAATTTCTTATACTTCTCCCCCACAAAAGAGAGGAGCATATGCTTAGGTGAAAAATAAAAAAAAAATGTTTTTTCAATGTTTTGGATAGCATGAAAAATGATTCCAGGGATTGCATTAATTGTGCTGAACAAAAGGAAAATGTGAACACAAAAAGAAAATTCAGCCTAAAGGGAAGCTTTGCTGTTGATACTTAACTTCTTCTTGGAACTTCCCATAAAGTAGAGGGTAGTTATTTTCTTTTCTTTTCTTTTCTTTTATTTATTTATTTATTTATTTATTTATTTATTATGATACTGGGGATTGAACTCAGGTCCTTGTGCTTGTGAAGCAGGCGGCAGAACCACTGAGCTAAATCCCCAGCCCGAGGGTAGTTATTTTTAAAGACTGTCATCATCCTGATTTGTAATACATGCTTAAATATCTATATCTATATATGACTGTATATGACATAGATAAATAACTGTATCTGGCTAGGCGTGGTGGCGTATGCCTGTAATCCCAACACTCAGGAGGCTGAGGCAGGAGGCTCTCTGAATCCGAGACCAGCCTGGGCTGCATAATGAGTTCCAGTTCAGTCTCAACTACATAATGAGACCCTGTCTCAAAAAACAAAAAAAAGAAACAATAATAATAATAATAATAATAATAATAATTGTATCTGGGTTGTTCTTCCACTAATAAAGTCATAGACTAACATACTTCAGAAATAATCATATAAGAAAAGTAATTATTTTACATCTAACTTAAAACATTGTATACTTAGTTGTTGAATTGGAATATATTAGGTAGTAGATATGTTAATAAAATCTGTACATTTTTAGATAAAAAGAGACTAGAAAAAGGAAATGGGATCTGAGAACATAATTGTAAGTATTCTGGCAACTGAAGAACTAGTCACCAAAAAGATTTGCAAATTAAGGTATAATCTTCAGCAGCAGTGCCGAACGTCAGGCAGAGATTTTAGCAGGGCAGAGGCTGTGGAGGCGAAGTGTGGGAGCAGAAGGTGGGACGTCTGATAGCGACAGAGAAAAGTGGGCACAGGTCTTGCCCCGACACAGTGCAGGGCATGTGAGCTCCCACCTCTGGGCCCCGAGCACTAGATCTGAGTACGGGGTGGGTCTCCAGGGCGAGTGGTGAGACTGATGATCACAAAAGCAGGAGGAAACTTCCTCTGGTGTATCCTGTAGAACAGCAGATTTCATAATCTCTCAAGCAGCTGACCCACTCCAGAAAAACCAAAGCCTCCAGCAAGAAGAGGTCACTGAAGTCCTGGAATACACAGAGGCAGCTGGGGACATAGTGTCCTTGACAAGAACAAAGGCGCGGACTCCCACAGAATTTTTTTGGTCTTTGTTTTTGTCTCTGGCATTCATCCAAGTTTAATTAAGGCTGCAGCTTCCCTTTATATGAAATGTGGGCAAATATAACTGGCTGAAAGGTATATTTTGGGACACAGTCACATGTTAATTGTCTAGGATAAGCTCCTTTCTTAAAACAATTTTTGTTGATTGAGCATTGATTAGGAATTGAAAATTTGTCATACTCAGTGGGAAAACAAACATGAATGTTCTTAAGTGTCACTAGAGGAGGATGAACCTAAGAATAGTCAACAGAGGTTAATAAGACTCATTAGACAGACTGTTTTCTATTAAAAGTTACCTCTTCTAAAAAATAAAAAGTAAAAGTTACCTCTTCTAACCCCTAATTTGGCAAAGGGAGGTATAAAATGTATCATACAAAATGTCTACTAATCTTTTCTTTCAGGGGATCAATTATTAACATTATTAAATTATAAATTATTAACTATTAAAGAGCTTTTGTACCACAAAAGAAATCACTAACAAAGTGAAGAGACAACCCACAGAGTGAGAAAATATTCTAGCCAGTAGTCCCTCAGACAAAGTACTAATATATAGAACATACAAAGACTTGAAAAAAATCAGACCCCCAAATTTAAAGACCAATCCAAAAGTGGGCATCTGAAAGGAATAGACACTTCTCAGAGGAAGAAGTACAAATGGCAAATAAATATATGAAAAAATGCTCAATATCACTGGTCTTTCGAGAGATGCAAATTAAAACAATGCTGAGATTCCATCTCACTCCAGAAAGAATTGGCTACTATCAAGAAATCAACCAATAACAAATGCTGGCAGGGCTGTGGGGAAAAAGAAACACTGCTCCACTGTTGTTGCAAATGAAGATTGGTGTGACCACTGTGGAAATCAGTGTGGCAATTCCTCAAAAAAATAGGATTAGAAGTCCTATTTGACTGAGCTATTCCTCATCTAGGTATCTTCCCAAAAGAATTAAAGGCATCATACCACAGCAGTATATGCATACCTGTGTTCATAGTGACACAGTTTGTAACAGCCCAAATGCCCATCAACTGATGAATGGATAAAAAAGATGTGGTTTTTCTATACAATGGAATATTACTCAGCCATAAAGAAGGAAAACTTGAGAAATTTATAGTGAACTGGATGCACCTTGAAGCTATACTCTTAAGTGAAATAAATAGGACATTTATATGTAAATATTGCATTGTCTCCCTGGTGTAAGACACTGAAAATGTAAAGAGGGACCAAAATGTATAACACACAACATGAAATAAGAAAAAATTTGTTCAAAAGAAGGGGGAACTAGAGAAGTGGGAGGGGAAAAGGAAGGAAGAAAAAAGAAAAAATGAGAAAAGAAGGAAAGAAATGGAAACAGGGCTTTTGTAAATAAGGAAGGGGAAAAGGGGTTGAAGGGAGGGGAGGGAAATGGGAAAGAAAGAGGACTCAGTGTACAGGTACAAATTCCCTATGACGATTGTGATCATTATGTACACCTAAACTGTACCAATGAAATTTTTAAAAACATAGTGGCGACCATCATATATTGAAAGATAGGAACAGTGAACATGAGGTTACATTTTGTCTCAATTACAGATCTGAGCTATTTTTTTAATGGTGATGAGCTCCTCATCACTGGCCAAGGCTTCCGTAGGAGCTACTATAAAGCAGAGTTCCCCAACCTCTGGGCCACAGACTGATATTGGTCTGTGGCCTGGTTCCTAACAGGAGGTGAGCATTGAGCAAATCAGGAAAGCTTCGCCTGTAGTTGATGCTCTCATATTACTACCTGAGCTCTGCTTCCTGTCAGATGAGCTGTGGCATCAGATTCTCATAAGAGTGCAAACCCTCTTAAGAACTTTGCATTTGAGGGATATAGGCTGTGTGCTCTTATGAGAATCTAACGCCTGGTACTGTGGTGGAACTGAGGAGGTGATGCTAGCTCTGGGAAGCAGCTGCAAACAGAGATTAACATTAGCAGAGCAGTTTGACTACTAGGGACCATAATAAATCAATAGACTTCAGATGCCTATCAAAACCCTATCAGTGAGTGGCAAGTAATAATTAAGCTGCATCGGGTGGCAGGTTTTATAGTGGCAGGTGAGTTGATGTATGTCAGTTTTACAACTGCACCTGGAGGAGGCTTAAGTCAGAATCTAATATTTACTTTAATGCATATGTGGTCTACCCATTATTTTATTTACCATTTCTGTAAATTTTCCTCCACATTGTGCTCTCATCTCAGGCACAGTTCTGGTAACTCCACAAACTAACCCTAGCCAAAATGAGTAAAAAATAAAAATCAATGAAGAGCTTCTTTGAAAAGGGGGAATGAGCCAATAATGAGATTAACAGAAGATTCTATAACTGATAGCAAAAGAAGAAAGCTGCATTTAAAGGAAATGTCAAGAGTCCTATTTAAATTATGACTTCATTGCAACAGATGATTTATATTCTTCAAGCCCACTCAATGTCATATGTGGTGACCTGCTGTCCAGCGAAGTCATGAAACCTTCAAAACTGCTTTGCCACATGCAGACCCAAGCACTGTACATTAAAAGACAAGCCTTTAGAGTTTTCAACAGAAAAAAAAGTGAACACAAAGAACAGAAGCAATTATTGAAGGCCACCACTTCACCAAATGTGTTAGCACTAAAAGCATCATTCTTAGTGGCTGATCACATCGCTAAAGCTAAAAAGGCCTTTACTATTGGTGAAGAGTTGATCTTGCCTATTGCTAAAGTCATTTGTCTTGAACTTTCAGGAGAGGTTACAGTTTTTAAAAAGCCAGCATGTGATCATCTTTTAGCTAGCACCATCTACACAAATTGATGAAATGGCAAAAGATATTGAGACACAATTGTCAGAAAGAATTAATGAGTCACTGTGGCATGCAGTTCAGGTTAACAAGTCTACTGATGTTGCCAACAAGGAAACAATGCTTGCTTTTATGTGATTTTTAGGAGGGTGTACATGAATATACACTATGGGCACTTTTTTTGCAGACCAACACCACAGCTGCAGAACTATGCAGGTCTTTGAATGATTATATATCAGGAAAACTGAATTAGTCATTTTGTGTTGGTATGTGCATCGTGTGCCTGTCATGACTGGATAGCATGCTGGTTTCACTACTCAGATCAAAACGGTCACTCTGAATGTGAGTCTACACATTGTGTTATCCACAAAGAAATGCTGGCTAGCCAAAAAATCTCACCTGAACTTGACAATGTTTTGCAAGATGTGGTTAAACACAATTAAACTACATTATAGTACATATGCTTAACTTATTTTTGTTCATGCAGTTCTGGAAGGAAATGAATGTGGAGCACACGTCTTTTCTTATATACAGAAGTGAGATAGCTTTCTGAAGGTAGATCACGGGCCAGAATTTTGGAGTTACAATGACACAGAATGGGTCACAAAACATACTTACTTGTGTGACATATTCAACCTGCTGAATGAAGTCAATCTGTTACTTCAGAGGAGAATGACAACTATATTCAAGTTGGCAAATAAAATGGCTACACTCAAAGCCAAATTGGAATTATAAGAGTGACAGTGAACACTGGGATTTTTGACATGTTTCAAACATTCGCAGAGATTTGAAAAAGACTAAGTCGAGATCTTCTTTCTGTCAGCTGATGCATGGTCTGCTACCTCTGCTTTCTAAAATGTTTGAGCATTACTTCCCAACCACAAAAGACCTCCAAACTTGGAAGGAATAGATCTGTGATCCATTTGTGAATAAGCTAGGCCTGCCAACTTTGTTCATTCCAGAAGAGGATCGACTGCTTGAGATCACAAATGACCATAGCCTTAAAATAGTTTGTTTGAGACAACTTCAAATCTCCATATGCTCTAGGTCAAAGTCAAGGCAGAATATCATATTACACTTGATCTTAGCCAAAAGGCCGAGAACCGATAAGGCAGAACATCATATTGCCACAAGCAGCAACCAGAATGAGTGCAAGCAGGCTGGAAAAGAGCAACACACTTTGGGTGTCACTGCTTTTCATCACCTCTAGATGGAACCATCTAGTTCTAGGAAAACAGGTTCAGGGCTCCCACTGATTCTGTATTATGGTGAGTGGTATTGTTATATCATTATACATTACAAAGTAATAATAACAGAAATAAAGTGAACAATGAATGCAGTAATGCACTTGACATCACAAAAACGTCCCTTCCCACCACTGCATCCATGGAAAAGTTGTCTTCCACAAAACTGGTCCCTGCTGCTAGGAAGACTGGGAACTGTTGCTATAAAGGGCTCTTGAAATGATAGACCCAGTGGGTCTCCAACACTGGCTCTAGCCAACTCATGTCCCTTCAGCTATGTCTGCCTGTCTACAATATAAATTCCCAAGGCCCTGCCTCCTATGTACTAACTCAGGTCCATGGTGTCTTAGGAATCCATGGATTTTATTTTAACCACTCAAATAAATCAGATACCCATGGAAATTTGGAAACCAATCTTCTAGATAATGTCTTTCCAACCTTACTTATATTGCCTAAATTCACAAATTTCTGGGTAGTTCTACATAACCAAAGTTAATAACATCTTTGAGCCACTGAATTTAAGTATTAAAGATAACTAATATGTATCATTAGTCAAGTAATAAATATTCATGAAAATCATGTATAATATGCTACCTTAGGCACTGAAATGAAATATGCTACCTTAGGCAATTCATTAATGTATTATAGGCCATGAAAGTTCCCTCACTAAATTCTCAAATTAATTCATTTTTTTTCTCATTGAGTTTATTGCTACATTTTAGGTATACAGTACAGTTACATTCATTATTGGGATCTTGTACCTTTACATGACAGGCCTTGGTTCTCATTTTTTCCCCTTGTCCCTGCCCTCCGTTCACCCCTCCTCTCCTCCCCCTTTACAAACACTTCAGAATGAAAAAATGGAAATGAAGTGTTGGTAATTTAAATTTTTTGAAGTTTTATAATTTTTAAACATTGCTTACTAAGCACAAGCTCCCGAGTTCAATCCCTGGTACAAATAAATAAATAAATACATAAATACTGCTTACTTTTTAAAGGTGAAAAATCGCTCTAATTTTCTTCATTTTTTTTCTCACTCTCTGGTTTTCGTCAATATTTTCACCTTATTTTTTCGTCTCTGTACTTGGAGATGTTGGAAGTGTGCTTTGTAGGTCATGCAATCTCTCAGTCCCCTTCCATGGATGCCTTCTAGACTTTGGAGTCTGCAAAACAAAGCCTGGTCAGTACTGTATACAAGAGAGTCATGTAAAAGGTAAGCCTTTATAAAAAAAAGTAAAGTGCAGGGGCAAACCTTATAACAGCAAACATTCACTGAGCACCTACTACGTTCCGGATGTTATACTAAGGGTTTTGCTGGGACTGCACTACACCAGCAATGCAATGATATGAGCACTAATGCATCTACACATTGCCTCATTTACACCATTCTCATCTTGACTTTTTTTCGGGGGGTGATACTGGGGTTGAACTCAAATCCTTCACATTCCCAGACCTCTGTGTGTGTGTGTGATGGAATTTTGCTAAGTTGTTAAACTTCCCAGGCTGGCTCCAGACACCCATAATTCCTGCCACAGCCTCCCACACTGGTGGGAAGCCGGGCTCTTACAAAAATTAATATATATTTTGTGGAACCCTTCTAAACACGCTGCTATGTAACACCACAGATCACACACCAGTGAAGCTTTTTTAAATATAAAAATCCAAATGATGAAAACAGTACAAAATAAACTGAAGGACATAATTTAAAGTTGCAAACAAACGAGGCCTCTTTAACATACAAAAACCAAAAGTCAGAAAGGAAATGATAGTTAAATTTGAATATATCAACACTTTCCAATTTATAAAATAAACAATAACTTCAAAATATCAAAGATAAGCAATAAACCGGGTGGAAGTAGTTAGAACATGGATAACAGAAATAAACACATCAATATCTAGCCAGAGTAAATAATTTCTAAAAATCAGTTTTGTAAAGGACTAACCACCAAAAAACAAAAAAATAAATCAAGTAATCATGAAAGGAATTCTTAGAAGAGCAAATATAAATAAACCTTTAAAAAGGTTGCTTGGCCTTGTTATTAGAAAAAAAAAGTATAAATTACAGAAATAATATAAGATTTTAAACCCCTCACTCATATTGGTAAGACACTAAGCAGGCACGGTAGCACACATCTGTACTTCCATGTACTTGGGAGGCTAAGGTAGGAAGACTGTGAGTTTGAGGCCAACCTAGGCAACTTAGTGAGACTCTGCCTTAAAATAAAATATAGAGGGCTCGGAATGTAGCTCAGTGATAAAAGTGTCCCTGGGTTCAATACCCAGTACCACAATCAATAATCAATCCATCAATTTTAGTGACAGTGTGGGGAAATGGTACCTCTTATACCTTTCCAATGATAGACCTGATTCAATATATTTAAGACAATTTGTATATTTTCATTAAAATTTAAAGGAGTACAGCCATCTACGAAGGAGCACTTTTCTTTGGTAGCTACAACAGAGAAATATTATAAGTAAAGGTATGTATCAGAATTACCATTGCAGCACTATATTTAACAGTGAAGCAATGGGAATGGCTTAAATATTTACCTAGAGGGAACTGTTAAAATATGTTATACTCAAGCCATGGAATGATGTGATACAATACTTGGAATAAATCAGATTCATTTGTTAATATGGGAAAAACCTTTAAAATGTTGCTCTGAGTACTAGTCAGGTTTCTTGCTGCTGAGATGCAGTACCCAACACTCATACCTGAAAAGGGAGAAGTTTAATTCGGCTCATGAGTTTAGGGGATTCAGTCCATGGGCAGCCTACTCAAAGGTGGGATCGTCACAATGGAAGGGCGTAGTGGAGCAAAGCTTGTCAGTTCGTGGAGGTGGGAAGTAGGGCAGGGAGCAGCAACTGTTCAAGGTGGAAGGCCTGGAAGCTTGTTGGTGTGAGTCTGCCCCGGAAGGCAGAGGAAACCAGACACTGATGTCCAAAGGCAGCGGCAGCCGAGACAAACCTGCTCACGCAGTCTGGAGCTCTTCCAAAAGAGCCAATTTCCTTCCTTCCCTTTTATTATTCTATCCAGGCTATAAGTCTAGTAGTTGGTGCCATCCACAAGCAGAGTGGGTCATCCCTTAGTTTATTGGCTTGCATGCCGATCATCTTTGGAAACATGCCACAGACACATCCAGAACTATGCTTTATTAATCTCTAGGTATTTATTAAGCCAGTCAAGTTGACACAGTTCACATTCATACTGTGTAAGAAAAAAGTCAGTTGCAAAATTGTACAGACAGTATATCACATATGAAAACACCTGATCTTAGCCAGAAGGCCAAGAAGTGATACCACATATGAATACAGATCAACAAAGCAAAACTCTAAATTTCTCCATGGAATTACAACTACAGAACACAATTTAAAGGGAATAAAAGTGAGCTGGGAGGAGGAGAATCATGGGCTTATTTCTCAAGGGCTTTTGTTATTCAGAGGGTTACTGAGATCTGTTCAACAACCTCCCCTCTAAGTTCTAGACCCCTTCTTTATCTACGTCAAGGCCCCTTATTACTATGAGTCATTGGCCCTCAGATCTTGCCTCCTAGACCAGACCTCTCTCCTGAATGAGGACAGTCATCTAATTAGACCAACATCAAAATAAGAATTAATTCTAAGCCTGGGAAAGAGCTAGAAGCTTACACAGCAGAATATTAACAATACTTCCTGATGGTCAAGGACCTAGAATGAATGAAAGACCACAATGGTGTGGGAAGAAGAGTTTCTTTCCTTGGATATTTTGCCATTTCACACTGAAACAAAGTAAAACTTACATTTTTTAAATAGTTTTTTTAAATAGGATTTATTTCTCAATTTGGACATTATTGACATCTGGGGCAATAACAGTAATTCTTTGTTATGGGGAGCAGTTGCTATCATTTGGAATTTCAAGGTCCCTGAAAGGTCCAGGTGTGTTGGTCCCCACATGCTGCTGGGAGCCAGTGGACTCTTCAGGAGGTTGGCCTAGTAGGAGGAAGTTAGGTCACTGGCTGCATGTTCTAGGATGGGATTTCCTCTCTTTTTTTGTTTCCTGGCTGCCATGAAGTAGCTTCCTTTGCTGTGCTTTCCCACTATGATTGCATTGCCTCACCACAGGCCCAAAAGCAACAGGCCAATTGACCATGGAATGAACCTTCTGCAACTATTAGCCAAAATATACTTTTCTTTTTAAATTGGTTATCTTAGGTGCCCAGCTAGCTCAGTCGGTGGAGTATCAGACCCTTGGTACTGGGGATCAAATTTAGGTCCTTGCGCTTGCAAGGCAGGTGGTGGAACCACTGAGTTACATCCCTGGCCCAAGTATGAGACTCTTAAATCAGTTATCTTAGAAATTCTGTCATAGTAAAGGAAAGCTGACTAATACAACAGTCTTCTGTATTGTAAGATGTACTGTAGCATCCTTACTATGCATCTTCTTCTGAGAATCCCCGGAGCATCTCCTCTCCCTACTTGGCTGCCTTGTCCAGTTGCGATAATAAAAATGTCTCTGGGCCTATTCAATGTCCTGGGATTGGGAGAGCAAAGACATCTCCAGTTGAGAAATCATTGTTTCTCATTTGCTGCTATCAGGGTCCTTTTGTCCTCCTTCATATAAGTGAAGCTCAGGGTGGCAGAATTGCGGAAAGTCACATCCTCTACTATGCATGCACTTTTGTGCATTTTTTTTTGTTTATGTTTTCTACAGTGAAGATACTTCTTAAGCCAGGGGAAAAATCAGTGGGTCATGGATAAGCCTCCATTTCTGAGAAGCAAGTCCATATCTCCATGATTCTTCTATGGATTTGACTAACTGATAACTTCTGACCTGGCTGAAATCAGCAAGCTTCCAAACAGCTACAAACACTTCAGAAATTTCTACACCATCAGTGGCAATCACATGGCTTTTATTAATCTGAAATGGAAATATCTTTTGTTTTATAATTTCAAAACTCATGTATTGCAACTAAACTAGTTTAAGCGGGAGTTCTTAAAGGCAAGATGATAATATGGACCATTTTGAGGTAGAAACTCTAGATTTGATGAACATAGAGGTTTTGCTGTGTGTCTTTAAAAAAAAAAAAAACAACCTGTTAGTTGTAAAGCATCTGTGGCTGGGTAGGTTGTGCCTCCAAGACATTCCCCCATCTCTACCTCTTTTTTTTCTTGCAGGTGGCATTCAATGGTTTACAGTTAAAGGTTGCACGGAGGATCACTCAGAGTGTTTCAAGAAAGAACATATAAATGCTTTTGAAACTCACTCTACTCACTGCTGCCTTCAACCAATGTGTAACTTTTGAAGAATTGGTCCATAGTTAAGTCAGTCAGTCTCAAAGTTTGACCTGTTTTTCACAAGATGGCAGCTACTGCCAATTAGCCCTCTTCAAAAACCTCAGACTTTTGTATGCCACGGAGCTGATGATCTGAAGTTGACTCTGGCATTTAAAGTGCCCAACTCCTCTCCAACCATCTCCAACTCAGAAATAATTTTTTCAACACCATCTCTCTCCTCTCTTCCTTTTACTTAATTCCATTTCCTGCCCCTGGTAATTTCAAGGCTACAAACAAGTGAAAATGAGTTTTCAAGTCAAACTAATCACATTATTTCTAATTAGTTTATTTCCCTAAATATTTCCATTGCAAAATACATTTAGGAATGAATCACAAGATACCAAGTGACCTGAGAGAGTTCATTCAGTTTCCAAAATAAATGCCTTGTTCCACTGGAGTGATTTATGGTATGGAGAAATTGACTTAACAAGTACCATAGGGGAAAAAATAAATGAAACAGTAAACCAGGCCAGTAACAACTATGTACCCAAATGGCAAAAAGACAGGGTGAGGGTTGGCATTTATTTCCTACATTGGAATCAGGGTTTGTCCAGATTCTGCATGTCCATATTTTAACCATGCCTAAGTGCTTTATTTACTCTTTGAACATTAACCAATTCTCGTTAAGTAAAGGACTAGGTTCTCATCCACAAAGAGTTTAAAAGGGATGTGAATATATTTAAACTACACTTCACATTTTTTACATATAATGTTTTCTATTACTCCAATTCAATGCCCTACTTTTGCAATCTAAAGGCTATTGTGTTTTAAAGTTAAAGTTGTTTCTCTGTATTTTCAAGAGTTTAGAAAATCCAAAACTAAATGGGGTAAATAAAACTTTCTCTGATTTTCTTTTTCTCAGGATTTAGGACATCTCACAAATGGCCTTCAACACATACTTTTCTATAAACTTGGATGAAGTTTAAAAGCCCAAGAAAACTAACGAGGCTTTATCCTCCACCCTCATTTCATCTCTATTCCTCAGATCATATTTCTGGGCCTAAGAAAAAAATTCCTTCAACCTCATATTTAAATCCAGTGGCCCCTATTCTGTCACTCTTTGCACAATCATACTGGTAAACAGTCGATCAGCACACTTCACAGAGATTCGATGTTTCAGGGTTTTTTTGTTTTTTTGTTTGTTTTGCCCAGTATCGTGGGGGAAATGACAAGATTATATAGTCAGTGGCTTGGTCACCTGCCAGAGGGTTTCCTCAGCACAGCTCACAATCCAGGAGACATCCTAAGAAGAGAGCCAGGAAGCAGGTGCTCATTCCTGTGTCACTAACTAGCCCTTGACCTTGGCACATCCGGTTGACCTCTGTATAGCCCAGGGGAAGGGACCACACAGACTCTTAGATCCTTCAGGTTTTCACATTTTACAACTCAAGAATGATTACACCTTTGCTGTTTACTTAGATCAAACATAAGACCTGGTGCTGCCCACAGCCCCAGAGGTAGCCGTGGCTTGACAGTTAACGATTCTCCAGATCTATATAATCCAGTCAGCTGAAAGGAGAAAAGGAAACCAGGAGAGCAGTCACTGTCTCTGAAGCCAATCTGACCCAGAAGTCACCACAGAAACAAAATGTCTGTCACACCTTGGTGAGCTTGGCCGAATTGTGACCTTCTACAGATGTCTACGTTCTAGTCCCAAGAACCTGTGAAAGGAGCTGTGCAGATATGCTTAAATTAAGGATTGTGAAGTTAGGAGAGGATCTCGGATGACCCACATAGGCCCATGTACCCACAAAGCTCTTAGAGTCAGAGATGACGCTGTGGTGGAAGCAGTCATCACAGGTTTGAAGCTGCCTCGCTGCCAGCTCTGAAGTGGGAGGAAGGGGATCACAAACCAAGGCCTCTGGGCACCCTCTAGAAACCGGAAAAGGCAAAAAGAGAAGCAGCACAGCCTCCAGAAGAATGCAGCCCCGCAGTCACATTTTGGCCTTCCTACCGCCAGAACTGTAAGATAAAATCTTGCTTTAAGTGTAGTACCTTGTCACAGCAGCCGTGGGAATGAACACATTGGTTGTGCAGTGGCTAAGGTGGCGTTAATCCTCCCCCAGGTTGACACATACAGGGCTTGGATTGTACCGGACGTGGTTTCTGCAGGGGCACCTTGGTATCCCACTGTTTTCCTCTCCTCTGATTCTCAGTCACAATTTCCCTTGAAACACACAAGACGGACTACAGGCTTGCAATGATATCTTCCCAGCTGATACCTCCCCCTCAAGCCCCTACCCATTCAGGATTTCTTCAGCTAACAAATTTATTCTTTTCAAATCTTCACACCTAAAGATAACGTGCTACCAGATTAGCTGGAATGTAGTCTATTTATAAGACATCAGGCTGAAGGACTAGCGAATAGCAGGATCATCTTTATTTATTTTATTTTATTTTATTTTTTTATTTATTGGTACTGGAGATTGAACTTGGGACTTTGAGCTTTTGAGCGAGGTGGTGGAACCACTAAGCTAAATCCCTGGTCCTAGCAGGATCATCTTTGATCCTCTGACTACCAGGCTGGCTTTCGTTTTTATTACATTTTTTCTGTAACTGAAATAGCAACTTCAGTGGTCCCTGTCTTTTAACTCATTTTAAAGAAAAGTCTCTACAGTTGATACATCAGTGACATCTGAAGGAACTGGCAGGGTAGAGACTTAAATGATTCTACAAGCAAAGGAGGAATATAACATTCTTCCTAGTGGCATTTGATTACAAGATGTTTGGATCGCACAAAATATGCTTTTTATAACAGACACAGTCATGGTTGCTTCCCCTGCTGTACTGATGAGGCATCTGAAGCCCCCCTCTGGGTAAGTGGCAGAGTGGGAAACTTCTGGCAAGGTGACATGTGAGCCTCGCGAATCCATTCCATAACACATCCTGCGGCTGGGCCAGAAGCCAAGCCTTTGGGATGCTGCCCTCTTGTTTCCTCAGAAATGAGACTTGGAGGGTCTCATAAAAAAACACAAGAGTAAAGAAATAGAAATCAGAGCCTGCTGACTGACCTTTTCTGTAGACAGAAATCATAACTTCTCAGCATAAGTGTATTTTCTAACTTCTCATCCCGATAGATACTAAATAAAGTGAATGGTTCTGTCATCCAAAATTACTGTGCAGAGTAGGGCACAGGGGTGTATGCCTATAATTCCAGCTACTCAGGAGACTGAGACAAGAGGATCTCAAGTTTGAGGCCTGCCTAGGCAACTTAGCAAAGCTGTGTCTCAAAAATTTAAAACTTAAAAGGGCTGGGAGCATAGGGCAGAGCACTTGCCTTGTGTGCACAAGACTCTGGGTTCAATTTTGAGCACAAGAAAGAAAGAAGAAAGGAAGGAAAGGAAAGAAGAAAAAGAAAGAAACTATTATATACAATGGAACACCCAGCAGAGGTGGAACTAGAAATTCTGATGCCAGAACCAGCATAAAACATGGCCTCAAGTCAACTTTGTAATATGTGGCAATTTGTGTTCTGGCTCACGTATGGGTGCTATGAATAATACTTCCCATCTGGTAGCTTCCTATTTTAACTATTCTTGCTAAGTAGGTGTTAAACTTAGCAGTATTCTGTGCATGTATATTTTAGTTCATTCTCTGTTGCTATAACAAAGCACCTGAGGTTGGATAATCTATAAAGAGAAAGGTTTATTTCACTCACAGTTTTGGAAGCTGAAAGTCTAAGACAAGATGGCCACTGCCGGTGAGAGCTTTAGCTACACCATGGCGTGGAAGATGATGTCACGTGGCAGTAGCCCATGAACAAGCCAAAAACACAGGGTAACCGCATTTTATAACTACTGGCTCTTGTAGTAACTAATTCAGTCCTGTGAGAACTAACCCACTCCTCCAAGGCCAGCAATCCCTTCTGCGGGTGGTGGCCCCTTGGCCTAATTATTTCCCAACAAAAAGATATAGAAAGAAGATTAGGCAATGATGACAGAAATTTGAAGCACACTGATTCCATAAATGTTTACTGAGCGATTTCTGTGTGTTACGCACTCACTCTTGCAGTCTCTTTCCCCACGAGAAACATGATGGAGATGTTTATGCATGTTTCTTGTGGGGCAAGAGACTGCAAGAATTGGCATTTGTAATGAAATCTGTGCTACGGATACATACAAGGTAATACGTGGGATTCACAGGAGAAGTATCTACCCCAGTGTGGTCAGAAGAGACTCTCAAAGGAAGTGGTACAGAAAACAATGTCTAAATGATAGGAAATAATCTGAAAGAAAAAATTGATGATTAATTTTATGTGTCAACTTATTTAGGCCACAGCATTCACATATCTGCATTATTATGCATTATCATGGATCGTTCTATGAAGGTATTTTTTTAGATGAGATGAACATTTAAGTCAACAGACCTCAAGTAAAGCTGAATGCCATCATAATATAAGTGGGCCTCATCCAATCATTTGAAGCCTTAGTAGAAAAAAAGACTAAGAATATAGGAATTCTGCTACCAGATTACCTTCAGACTCAAACTACAACTCTTCTCTGATTCAAACTCAGTACCTTGCACCTGCCAGGCAGCTGCAGCACCACTGTGCTACATCCCCCACCCCAGGAGTTGATTCTTTAAAATAAATCTCTCTGAATCTATGCAGATGGTCCCTGACTTACAATCTCTTGGCTTACAATTTTCCAAGTTTACAAAGGTGTGAAAGTATACCCTAACAACCATTCTACTTTTCATTTTCAGTACCAGTGTCCGATAAATGAGATAGCATACTCAACACTTTTATTAGGCTTTGTGTTAGATGATTTTACCCAACTGTAGGCTAATGTAAGTTTTGAGTGTGTCTGAGGTTATAACCAGGAGGTTAGGGCATACCAAATTCATTTTGACTTAGGATATTTCCAACTTGGAATTGGTTTATCAGAAGGTAATCCATTGTAAGTCAAGAAACATCTGGATACATCCTATTAGTTCCATTTCTCTGGAGAATCCATACTAATTATAGATTCTAATTAGTGATCATGCATGCCAGGGCCTTTGAAGCAGGAAAGAAACTTCATGTCCTCGATATTTGGTCAGAGAGGTCAAGACCCACATTGAGTAGAGAGAGCAGGCAGGGCTAGATAAGGCAGGATCTTAAAGCATTCTAAGATTTAAAGAATTTGATTTTCTCTACAAGCAGTGAGAGCCCCTCTGCTGTCTATTTAGTACCTCCCCTTGTTCTGGAAGCATCACGCTTTTCTGGAAGCCCAGCCTAACCCACTCCAACCAAGACACCTCCACCAAAATGTGTTTTACTTATTCTAACTCTGCCCCTGGTTAAGTATTTCTGGATTAACAACCAAGAATTGAAGTTCTTACCTGGAATTTTAAATGT